ATAATTAGATTAGTGACAATCAAAATCAATAGTCTAATATTAATTTTCGACTGCTCATAAGTAGGTACTAGGTAATTAAAATGTTTTGGATTTTGTTTCTTGTTTTTACTTGATAGTCTAGAAAATAAAGGACAATGACCAAAAATGTATGGAGTGTGGTCCAAATGTCCACCACTAACGAGACCTATGTAGTAAAATAGTCTACTAAATACTGATTCATTATAACCAAACCGCAATCAAAAATATGCTGTCAGTAAAAAGTTATGACTGAATGAAAAGTCTGTTTTTTACCCTTTCATACGCAAAATGTTCTTGATATCATTCTATCCATTGCACATTTTGGACTAATCTACGCATGTTATGTCATGTCGCATGTGGCGCGGGGTTATAGATGAATTTTATTAAATATTATACTAGCTGTGCCTACGACTTTGTACGCGTGAAAATAGTTGTCTTTACTGCTTCGCCCCTATTGGTTGTATGTAGGGTGATGTTATTTATCGTAAAACCATCCTTGATAAATGGGCTATCCATAACAAAAATAATTTTTCAAATCGAACCAGTAGTTCCTGAGATTAGCGCGTAAACTACTACAATTTTTCAAACAGTCATAACTTTTTACTGACAGCTTATTTTTTTTTCGTCCAATACTGAAAGTTAATCTCTATTCAATGGACTATAAGCCAATATAGGTCTCATTAGTGGTGGACATTTGGACCACTTTTGGTCATTGTCCTTTTATTAACATTTAAGTTTGTTATACGTATGTACGTCGTAAGTTATTCATAAGTGCAGACTATTGATTCATTAATTGATCAGGTTAACTAAGTTATGATTATAATTGACATAGTGATCTAGATAACTAATTATCGAACAAACGAGACCGTAGTAAGCTGACAGTTAATAACTGCAATGTTTATTACCTCCATTCTCAGTGATCTTAGAAAATATGAAAGTCTTTGACTATAAACTAAACGAGTAGAAAATGTAGAGATCATACACACATACGTCATAATAAACCATTGATCTATTTCCACAAGTACATAATTAACTTTAATGTAGACAAGTCTAATGGAGGAAAAATAAGTCAAAAAAATAAGTAAATATAACTGCGAACTCAACAAAAACGTTTAGAAAGAGAGATATTTATGAAGTAATTGAACTGAATTTTACTATCTATTCATATCACAATATATTTTTCTTTTTTACAATATTCGCGAATATAATGTGATTTTACACCGATTTTGATTTGCACTTACTTATTGGTAATTTATTTATTTTATTAAATTCGTTATTGGTAGGTAGGTGTACCTACTTTGAAAGAACTATTTTTGATTGACATGAGGTTTACCCCTGTATTCACAAACGATGCTTGCAAGTGAAGCAGCAAATCGGACACATAGCGTTGAATAGAGCTCTGTGATTGGTTCATGTGTCACCCTGTGCGTCCACGCGCACTGTGAGACCTCATAGTATTTGTGTATTAGCAGTATTAGCACAGAATAATAATGGTATTTGTGTCTCTAGCTGTCATGTGTAACCGTCTGCATCTCTGCTTAGGCTTGATAGTAAGTCACTGAATTTAAACTCTACATATTAACGCGTTGGTTATCACTTAAGGACATCAAGAGAAAAGCTTTGCTGCTTACAACTAACACTATTAACAGAAATACTGATACATACTTAGATTACCTCACAAGGATCTACGTGACGATAAGCTACGTCCTCGTAACAGCATGCGCAGGCGCTTGCGAACCAGCTTTCCGTTACTTTCTCGGTGCGAGTAGAAAGCGAGTTATGATGCCAATTACGAGATTCCGCAAATAAATACGGTTGTTGTAAATTGCTGACCACACTTTGAACCTTATTTGCAAGGCTGATTATGGGATTAGTGAATTTAATGATATTATTTTGATGCTCAAGTTTGCGGGTCTATTTGCGAAGGTCATTCGTTAAAGTCTAGCTAGGATGAACCTTAAAGTTAAAAAATCATTACGTCTCTATTTAACTACATAAACTGGTTTTGAATTTATTGTAGAAAAGTAATTATTAACTGTGTTTAATTACATTGTAAACTTAATAATGAAGCTAGAAAAGGCATATTATAAGTGAAGTAGGACATTAATAAAGAGTGTGTACCCACTTATTATTGTAGGTAGAACAGTGTCCTTAATATTTAACACCAAATTAATTAAAACGAATGTTTATGTCATAAATCTACAAATATTGAGTAATTACATTTTAATTAAGTACCAGACTGGTCGTGCGCCAGCTCGTTATATCGGTTCGGTGCACGAAAAAACTTCAGTGCGAATTTTTTCAAATTATTCGCGTTAGTTATTAAGGATATAAAATTTTATGTATTTTCCTAACAAGAGTGTTTAAAAAATACTTCAAAAATTAGTTGCTATTTTATTTGTAACTTTGAGATTCTTTTAGTAACGTTGATAATTTTGTCATGTCACCCAATGAAAAGTTTTGAGCCAAGTAACACTGGTGTATTATTTTTATTCACATCTAAAATTTTGTCCATCGCATACGAGTATTATTATATTAAAGCTTCTATAACATCAAATGTTATATTATGTAAACTTTTAGACACGGTCCTCCAAAGCTGCAGCTCTATCCTTAAAATTAGTTTATTCTTCCAGAAGTCTGCACAATATGTCGTGACTCATGATTTACATCTGGTATTATAAGGATGTCGGCGCTGAATGCAGGCCGCTACCAACCAGTCATTATGGAAATCATTGGGGGAGGCTTATGTTCAGTAGTGGACTCACAGCTGAAATTATGTTTATGATGAATATAAGGTATAGTTTATACAAGTGTTTTTCAACCTTTTTCTTGACACGACCCCCCCAGTATAATGAAAAAAAAATTGGCGACCTCCCTAGTATGAAAAAAAAAAAAATTTATGCGGGGTCCCCGACCGTCACTTTTTTCATGCATTTTATAATATTACAAAGATGTTGTAGGGACCGAATACTTTAATCTATACAACATTTATGCATTTGCATTTCGGATACAATTTATTGTTCTTTACGTCTTTACTGAGGTGGTTTTAACGACCTCTCGCGACCCCATAGGTTGAAAAACACTGGTTTATACTGTACTTGCCTTGCCAGAGACTTGTGCTTGCCTAATTCCCGTCTAATTACAAGCGTAATGAGCAGCGTTCGTGCTGTTACAAGCGAACCGCTTCAGTCGCGGCTGACTGGCGGTGCCGTAATCGCGCCATGCCCGAATTTTGAGTACTCGGAATTCGTAACAACTAGTTGTAGTTGCGAGTGGAGTATGTCGATGAATATTGATGCGCGCGATTCGAGGAAAATAACACGCTCATTTACTTGATCCGATAACCGTAAATCCAATATTTACTGAGAAAATGGTTAATCTATACTAATATTATAAATACGAAAGTGACTCTGTCTGTCTGTCTGTCTCGCTTTCACGCCTAAACCACTGAACCGATTTTGATGAAATTTGGCATAGAGATAGTTTGAGTCCCGGGAAAGGAAATAGGATAGTTTTTATCCCGGTTTTTGAAACAAGGACGCGCGCGATACGGTTTTTCTGTGACAGACAAGGTTCCATGCGAGCGAAGCCGCGGGCGGAAAGCTAGTACTTCCATAAACCCTAATATTACCTTTCAAAGTCGAATCGATTATGGATTCGATTTCTATGTGTCTATCGATGGGTAGATTGGGATATATATTCAGCCTCAGTACTAGACAAAGCAGTTACTGACTGTTTGCGAGAACACCAGTGAATTGGACCACCACCATAAAACACTACAAAACCAGTCGTGCTCTTCCTAGTATCAGGATCACCTGCAAAGTCTGCATCACAATATGCTTTTAAACTTAGATCGCTACCACGAACATATTTTATACCACTGCTAACTGTATTTATATGGGTACGTTAGGTAGGGGTACCTTTACCCTGCCTGAAAGCCTAAAAAATCTTCATCATCAGTCATTTATTGGTCTCCACTGCAGGAGTATGACCCTCTCCAATTTGCTAGAGGCAAATGGAGGATTTGGCCTACACTCCCCACGCTAGCCAGATGGTTTAAGTTGGGGAGAAAGATCTTACTTGCCTCTTATTGCTTTACATTGTGTCTGCTAAGTTATCACAATGTAGCTGCAGCCTTATATGTACGATCATTAAGTATGGATTTTCTAAGTGAATAGCTACAATGACAGCAATATTTCCTGTATGGTATGTGATCTCGTCTCAAGAAGACACCAAGATTACTATGGTATTAATTTTTCCCGCACAATCGACCGTAACGATGTTCATAATAGATAATATCAATTTCACAAGCTGTAGGCTTCTAGCACGTAAATGATTAGAGATTAGAGATATAATTTACATAATGTATAAGTAAAATGATTATACGACATTATACTTACTGTACATAAGCACTTGTTGGAAGATGTCTTCCGCATGCATTATTATGTAGAGCCAATAAGTGTATGTTTGAAATAGGTAGGTATCTACTTATTACTATATGGTGTAGTCACTTGTATGACTTTTTCACTCATAATTTCACCAAATTATCATAATGTCCCTTCTAGGTTTTCTTCTTAAAAAGCTATGTTACTTCGCGTAAACCAACGTTTGGCCAGTGCTGAGTAGAAGCGACGCAACAAATTTGTCATTATCTGCCAATAGAAGCCTGCAGCGACCTAGACTGCTCGCTTTTTAGGGTGATCTGGGTTGGCTGAAGTAGGAGAACTAACCACAAATTATGCACAAAGTACCGACTAATAAAGGTAGAGGGAAGGCGCTGGATGCAGGCCGCTGGCCGCTGCCAATCGGTCATTGTGGAAGTCATTGGGAGAGGCCTATGTTCAGTAGTAGTGATCGTCCTATGGCTGAAACGATAATAATGATAATGCACAATGTGTCCATCAAGAGGCTCAGTGCAATATAATTGTTTACCAAACATGTATTCAGGTGATAATTCTCTGTTTTCTCCCTTGCAGCTGGCCGGGCGCGGAGGATGTCGGCGACCAAGTACACGCACCCGTTCATGCGCGGGCTCAAGCCGCTGCCCGACGGGCACGAGGATGAGATCCAGCAGATTAGAGAATGGTAATTGTAATTATATTGTAAGATTTAAACTTTCGCGTTCCATTTCAATTAAAATAGTAAGACACGGGTCTTAACGGGTTTATTAATGAGTGGTCACAAGCTGACTCGGCAGTCAGCATCGCAGCCGTAACGTCAAGCCATGAGTACATAATGTGTCTTACTATTTTAATTGTAATTATATTGTTCACTAGCAGCCGTCCGCGACTTCGTACGCGTGGATCCCGTTTTACCCCCTTAGGGGTGGAGTTTCAGTTGGTTTGAGCTGTGCGTTGATAGATCACTATGTCAGATTCAGTAAGGGCTATCGAATTTGCGTTCACCAGTTGGCACCATTGTAGACTAAGGTCCTGTCATTCGCTTGAGACTTCACCTAGTTGTCGCTGAAGTGGTAGGAGGACTATTGCATTTGCACTCACTAATCTAATATTCTAGTCATTCCTGCTGCAGCGGCCTAGGGGCGGCAGATTTCAGAGGGCGTTTACTTGATTTCAAAACATAAAAGTCAAATGAGATCCAATAACAAAGCACACGGGCGGCAAATCTGTAAATCCGCCACTGCTGTTATGTATTAAAACGATAGCCATCATTGTCTGAATATACGATGGGATAAATATTTGGTGAACTTCAGAGAATAGTCATTTTTAGGATTCCGCAGTCCTGACAAGGAACCCCTTTAGTTTATTTTTATTTCAATTTTCCCTACCAGGTGGCTTATTCACTGATTGGTTCCCCATACGCGTATATTTTAGGCCACACCTGCAACTTTGTCCTCGGATCTACATACATAAAGCGTGGTGAGCTTAGCTCTTCTGTTCATTCTGTAGTTCTCTTGAAGCCAATAAATGCATTTTCATCAGTCCATTTAATTCAAACTTTAATTTAGTTATTAACTGTTATCAAAACATAAACATCACAGATAAACAAGTGAAAGTACACAAACACATCGGAGTACCCTTCGACATTGAGTGCATTTACGGCTCTCATACAATGCTATTATGGACCGACGCTTTTCCTAGAAATCACTATGGGACTAGGTAGCCTTCCGCCTCACGGGTTATGTAATTGACTAGAGTGACCCCACGCGCGGGGTGAACATTGTTATCTGTTCCTCATAATCTCTACGTTTGCCCTTTAGCTTTTCTTATGTTTCTATGCCAAATATACCTAATACTTATGCTCAATTTTATGCCTTATGCATAATATGTGGATTAAGTATTTATTACCTTTTTGACATTCACGCAAAAGACGCAAGGGTAATCGTTTATAATAATAATACATAATTGACTTTAACCAAAAGACGCTCACAAAAAATGGACATAAAGTCTGAATGACCAACTTGGAGTAATAAAGGCTCCTTAATCGTAAATACGTAGTTATAAATTCATTCTTCAAGATGTTTAACTTTCAAATTCATTTCAGTATATTATTTAGATGCTAATTGCTGTGACGTAACCTGTGTTTTATTAATAGACAATTTTGTACTTACAAAACAAGCTCTTAAATTATAGTTTTCATTGATATAACCCTATTAGATTTAGCCTGTGCGGTGTTAAACGCTTGGTCACGTCACACAGTGTTCGGTGAAAGTGAACACATAGTTCGGAATTCCATTGACGGACGCTCCCAGGTCAGTGTAGTAAATAAATAAATGATTGTAAGCTAGAATAATGTAATATGTAACGTTATCGTTTGTGCAATGTGCGATTATATTGTGAATTTTTTACATAGGATAATGTACTTAAATCTACATAATTTGTATTTTAGATGACATATACGAGTATACCTTCCCATAAAAGGATTATTAGTAACAGTGAAAGTACAGATTTTATGACGGCGAAGAGTAAAGACGGCGTATGTGACTGCACCAGACAGTCTGCTAACAGAGAAGGATGGCGGGAGATAGTGCGGAGAGTTGTTTCCACCTCTACAACCATGTGAACAACGCCTCAACGTGACCACGACCGCACTGCCAAGAGCGAAACGAATAAGATGAAGAAAGATTTTTTAATTTCACCCGTCAAAAGCAGCCAATGTTTTTATGACGTTCTTTTCTGATCACGTATTTTCAAAACGAAAGATTCCAGCACACTCTACCTCAACGGGGAAGATCTTAACCTACATCTCTTCTGATTGAAGTGATGATCATTAATATGCCAAAGTTGAAAGCGAGCTTCACACAGAATCCTCTACCTTAGATGAATTGGCTACTTTTACCTTCCAACTGCCAAACACTTATGTATTTTAATCAATCTGTTCTTCCCGTACGAAAGACGTGCTTAGGAAAAGGAAAAATCGGTCGCTTGTGCGCTTATTGTGTCTCATATTAAATGTTGTTACTAGAGTTATCAAGTAGGTATTTAGTTGTTCACAATATGACACTTGTTTATTAGCAGAAATGCGGCAATTGCCCAAAGGGCACAATGGCACGCAATATGCACTGCGCTTGCGTTACTCGCATTTCGTACGGGTGCGTCCGCGCGTGAAACGGGTAACTGTGCCGATTCATAATTTCTATCGTGACACCATTTTTTCGTGGTTGCGTTTGCTTTCGTCCTTCTGATGCGAAAAATTTAACGATACTTTCCTTCTGTGCAAACTCTAAAAGTAAATGATAAAATTGTAGCAAATTGTTTCTAAATCACATAAAACTTGAAATTCAAGCATAGGTAACCAATAAAAATTACACAAATGAATTTAATATACTTGAAAAACTGTTTCTCTCTTATCCAATCGAACATTCATGCCTTTATTACGATATTTTAAATATAAAAACGCTCACAAAGGAAAGAGTTCTTTAAGCAAAGTACCCCGACGGTAGATAAAACATGCTGAGCCGAAACTAGGACAATACTCTCATTTAGCTCAGCGGTTCTCATGCCCCGCTAAGTTTGCCAAAAACCATAATAGCGTATTTTCATTAAGGGCTGCTTGAATTCGAGCCAGAAGTTAAAATATAACTGAAACCTGTGTTGGTTGGCAAAAAACAAGTGCCCACCACTTTGTATTAATTAGGCTTGAAACTCGTGTTGTCCTTTTTTAAACTTAAGCAGATTTTCTTATGGATTAGATCGAAATAGGATTGTAGGCATGGTACATTGTTCGTTCGTTTCAGCCAAATGACGTCCAATATTGGATAAAGGCCTCCCCCAAGGTTTATTTATTTATTTATTTATTTTGGCTTTTCAACAATAAGTACACTATTAAAATTTAAAATACATAACCAAAATTACATGTATAAGTGCCCCATCACTTAAAGAAAAGCACTGCATCTGCTAAATAATGTGTAGCTACGCAAAAAATAAAAAATGCAAATGTTACCTACACTACAGTGCAATTTTATATAGGTTTTCCAAATGGGGGAGGCATGGTGCTTATTACCTACAAATAATATTAAGCAATGAAGCGAGTGTGGCTTACTCGTGCGTGGAAGCTCTGTGAGTTACTAATTATGTGTGAAGAGGTAGACAGTTGATTATCAGTAATTAATCTGCCTACTATCGACAGAGATAACGATCATTCCACGTTAAACTTACGAAGTTCATCTTTAATTTTGAGGACTACTTAAGCAAAAAAAGACGAGCAATTACTCGTATTTAGTGAAGATATACCTATGTCATCATTAGATACATTTTGATTTTGATTAGGATGAGCGATTATTTCTGAAGAATGATCGAAATAAAAAGGGCAAATCCGCGAACTGAAGCTAGTGCTAATAACTCGTTCGTCTGGTCAGGCAGGTACTACGCATTCACACCGGATGGTATTCGTAACAATTGACGAACTGAGGCAATAGGCCTTTTGACAATTTCCTACGTTTTATGGACCATAGGTTACGAAAGGGCAATCGCTAAAATCGTGTCGGTGACGAAAGAAAACTAATTGCACCACGCAAACTACGCGGTTTGCTAACGATTTATAACTCGTGGGAATTCGGTTTTAGTATTCACAGACACTTTTCTTAGAAATTACTCACGTTATTCAATAAACATTTTGAATTGGTGACGGTTTAATTAATCCGTTGACGGCTTTTTTGTCTCTATCTAGCAAATGATTTACGAAATCTTATTCCATGAGAGCTCTATTATGTACTTAGATAAATACTTTTCGTATGCACCTACTGAGTTACATGCACTTGGTACATAACTGAAGACAGTTTCAGATGAAATAAAAAATATATGTAGAGTTTAGTACTTATATGGTACTATAATTATATCTAACTCCTGACGTCTTATTTTAAATACGAAGCGATTTTATTATGTTACAAATATTTTAATTAGTTAATGTCGAGGAAATGCAGCCAGCATCCTCGCCTCTTTGGCTCACACACACACCGTTATTTTTGAGTAGTAAATAAGTTTATATTTGTATATTGTTTAGAGTTAAGTTTGTGTTAGTTTTAAAAAAAATCTGTTTATTGTAAATAAAGCTTTGCTAACTAATTAATATCTCGATTCTCTCGATTCCAGGATGAAGAGCCAGGCGCATCTGCCATACATCTCCGACGAGTACGTGATGTTGTTCTTGCACTCCAACTACTACAAAGTGAAAGAGACGAAGGACACGATCGAGTGCTACTTCACACTGCGCGCAAACACCCCAGATCTGTTCAGCAATCGGGATCCACTGTCGCCGAAGAACAAAGCCATACTGGATATCACGTGAGTTTCCATAATTCATCATTCTTCTTCTTTAATCGTGCTTTACTTTTCAAGCAATCACCACCAGGAACGAAGGCAAGGCTCCACGTAGAGCTATGTCCCGGAGCAATGTCGTGATTAAATGTAAAGCATAAAATGCTTTGGTTGACCATATTTAAAGGAAAAAATGCTTATAGGAGACAACTTGAAAAAAATAATAAGCAATCAAGTTATCCGTCTGTGTGCCTTAATTTTTTTTTTTGGAAATAGTTTCAGTACGATATAAATATTATCACAAGGAGATTAACAACTTAGTATGTGTTTCTCAAAATTATTAAATTATGAGGAACACATAATAAAATAAAATCTCTGTTTGTGTTATTGTGTTTAATTATGTAACAATAAGTTATATCCTCCGTTTCTGACATTGAACTTAATTGCATATCTTAGTTAATAACTAATCATTATTATTCACAAAGAGAATTATGGAATTTATGGGTGGAAGCAATTAAATATTAAGCAGTTATTATAAGTAATCAAATAAGGTGTATTAACATAATACAAACTATGTTTAATCTATTGGTAAATAGTTTTATTCAAACAGTTATAATCAAAATTAAATACAGTACTTTTATTAAAAAGACTACAAGCTTACTTACCTTTTAGTAGCATGTTGTTTAAGATTCGTGATTGTTCTACAAAGTTGACGAAAATAACAATGAAATTGTGACCTCCGTTTTCGTGTCATCATGACGCGAATGCTCCTCAAATAATGGACTTGCATTGCTTAATAAAAACATGACGATGCTGCATACATTGACTTTAACCCTAATTGTGCGCAGACAATCATTATTCGTAAAGCAAAGAGGCAAGGGCAAAAAGAATTACTCGTGATATTATGAAGTCTGTAATGAAACCTAAAACTGTTGTAGTCAATACTTGGATTGAATTTAATTTCAATTAAATCATAGGAATGAACGGTAGCAGGAAGGCACTGGATGCAGGCCGCTACCAATTGTGCGATGTGGAAGTCATTGGGGAAGGCCTGTGTTCAGCAGTGGACGCCCTGTGGCTGAAATGATGATGATGATGATGATAATGATGAAATCATAGAACAGATCTTGAGTTTGAATCAAACTTTGACCTTCATTATGTCGGAGTAAAGATTAAAATAACAATAATGACTAAATAACCCTCCTTCTGGCGCAGTCGGGTAATGAAAATGCTGATGAAGAATGAAAACTCTACCTCCAACGTTTAAGATATTTTAGAAATACCTATAAGATTTAATTATAGAATCACTACATAACGTATGAAAAATTTAAACTAAAAAAAGGTTTAAGTTACTACACGTTTTAGAACTAGTGTACTGAAAAATAGGTCGGTGCTTCCATACTGCAACTGAATGCAAATCACAAGGCCGCATTCCGCCGAAGTAGGCGCTAAATGGCTAGGTAGCACTTGTCTATTAATTTGCCTAGGCAGTAATTTTCTTGATGACACTCTATTATGCACTCTATACATTCATTAAGGGGCCTGTTGGTATGAAACTGTAGTATCATGCCAATATTTCATTTAAAGCATAAGATAACGTTTTATTTTCAGCGGTGTATTTATGCGAATGTTTGTCTTTCGATAAAAAGGGTTAAAATAACATTCTTACCTTATATTGCGTAGGGTAAAAAATTATACAACTCTACCTAAATACTATGCTTGTATGCTATGCATATTTACTCTATCAAGAAAGACTTAGGCAGGGTTGCTCCATCTTACTTTCACTTTAACAAACGTAAAAAATCTGTCAACTCCATACAAAAAGCACCAGTTATCGTTAAAGTTAGCGTTAAAGTTAGGTGGTGCAACTCAGCCTTATCTCATAGACACCGTCATCAAGTACATTTCAATCCGAAGGAGTTCTGACTCCTCTGTTCTGACTTATCTCTTTCTCTAATAAAGGAGAAAGATTAGCTACACTTCCCTTGCATTTTAATTAAATAAATACACCTGCGGATTATTACCACACGTCTAAAGACAATTAACTGTATTTCCAGGAACATGATCGCCCTCCCGAACAAAACCACCGAAGGTTACCACGTGCTGCTCTACCGGCTGTCCGAATTCGACTACAGCAAGCTGAACTTCGCGGACGCCGTCCGGGTGTTCTGCATGTTCAACGACGTCAAGCTGTCCGAGGACTGCCTGTCCGACGGGTACATCGTCATCTTCGACATGAAAGGCTGCAGCCTTGGCCATCTGACCAGGGTCACGCTGCCAGCGTTGAGAGCTTTCATGCATTATATTCAGGTTAGCAGAATAAAGGATTTTCTTTTTATCTTTTCATCGTCAAGCGTCTTTTTATGCTGAATGGTCTTACTGATCTTATATTGATTAAATTTTTATCGCAGTTCGTTTTAAACATTGCCTACGTTATACAATTATTGTAACAAGTATCTTATTTCTATTTTCAGAACGCCCATCCTTGCCGTCTTAAGAAAATCCATGTCGTTCACACGGTCTCCTTCATCAACCAAGTAATGTGCCTCGTCAAGCCGCTCATCCACTCAAATCTCCTCAATTTGCTCAACTTTTCTTCCGAAGGCCCGGCTTCTGTCGTGGATAAGGAACTCCTGCCCGAAGACTACGGCGGCCCCCTCCCACCAGTCAAGCAGTTCCACGAGGAGCAGAGAAAGAACATGGAAGAAAACTACAGGGATTGGTTGATAGAGACTGAGATATTCAAAGCAGATGAAAAGAAAAGGATAAAGAAACCAAGCAGAGGAATGTTTGCCAGTTTTACCAGCAGCTTCAAAAGCCTGGACATCGACTGATGCAATCATGTCCAATAATGCACCAGGGACCTGATTACTAGCAACGTTTGTATAAAGAATTTTGTATTTAGTCGTACTTTTAGATGTACTACTTATTTTTATTTGCTTTTTGTTTTTAGAGCAATATCTTTATTATGAAGAACCAAATATCTATGCTATTCTGTTTTCTCTGGGTAAGGTTTCATCGGATAAAACTTAGTAAAAATGCTCATAGAGTTTTGTTATTAAATTAAGCTTAGTCACGTTTTAATGTAAGATTAGTTATTGTAAGATTTGTCTTTGTCAAAGTATCTGTGATGATAAAGAGGTATATTTTCATAAAAAATGTTAAAGCACACCTTTTTCTTGGAAAAATTAGAATTAAAAATCTATTGTTTTAGAATATTACAATCAAAGATATTATTTTCTTCCTTTCTAAAGAATAGTAATAACTTGTTATTTTTTGTTAGTTATGCGAATAGAGGCATGATATTTTAATGTTTTAATGTAATTTTATATTTATCTTGTATATGATAGTTTTAGTTATATATTTCCAGAGTTTAAGCTTATTTCGTACACTATTGTGAGGTCTTCAATCTGGTTATTGAAGGAGTGGTGGTTTTTATACTTATTTAATGCTTTATTTAGTAAATTGTGTATTTCCAGTTAGCAGATACGGTAGTCAGGGTTTTTTCGCTAATGACAGGGATGTATGTAACATATCCATTTATTTGTTAAATTCATTCCTTATTTGTTAAATTCATTCCAAACTCGTTCATCAGGCTTTTCGGTCTTGGCTTGGTTATTATGTAGGTATACTGCCTGTAAAAGGCATGAGTTTAGTAAAGTTTTCACGTTGACATAATGTTTTTAATGTCGAGGGGAAACTTCATTGATTTTCAATTCTCAAGTGGCTGGTATAGCTTTATTTTCACTATTGTAACAAAAATGAGTGTGTTCCAAAATTTTGAAAGTGATTAAACAGTTACCAGATTTTATCGGTAGCCAAAACTGACTGAACTAGTTCTAAACTGTTTGAAACTACGCTTGTAAGATAATCTTTAAAAATCTACTTTTCTATCGCTTTTTGTAAAAACTATCAATAGTTTTTCTAAACACATTGCCTTCCACTTTAAATGAAATTTTAGAAAAATAATATTTACACACCTACATGTTTTTAGTCTAATTATACTTATCGATTGTTAGTAATATAATATTTTTATATGATTTTGTAATATGAACAAACCAAAACTTTATTTTTGTATATAGAATCATGTATTGTAAATAAAGTTCATTAATTATATACCACTAAATTGAGAGTGTTTAATTTAACCACAGGTAGATACTGCCACAATTAATGTTGGTCCCAAAAACAAATAGGTACCTACTCTCACAGAATCAAATAGCCATAAGTTATTTCGTCATAATTATCGCAAAACTTATGAAGTGGCTTATCATTGATTAGAATTAATTAAACCCGTTTATTCACCCGTCATTTGTTTTGACTCCCTCAAAAAGGATGGTCATCTATTCACATCCACAATGACGTTTCAATTGAAACAAAGTGAAATCAAATGTTTGAATGCAATCAGCAGTTCGATATGGAGCATGTTCTGTAAAAGTAAAAGTGACAGTTTATCGGATGCAGAAACAATTCCCAGTAATTGGATCGTTACGGACGGAAATAGTAAAACAGTCAGGAATGTTTATGTGCAGACGGTGGACACACAACCGAGCGATAGACTGAAGGACCGTAACAGCAAGGAAGGTAATGAGGCTTCTGCTGAAAGTGAAGAAGAGATTAAAATAAATGTTTTTATTGAAAATACTGATAGGCAGTTGCATACAGCAAGAGATAATAACGCAGTAGTAGAAGATAAAACAATTGAAAATCAAAAAGAATCAATTAATTATGCTCAAAATAATGTAGAGACAGCTGAAAACGTTCTGCTGCCTGAAACAAAACAAATTGACACGCGTTCCATGAAGGAGGATGAAATTGACGTGAGTAAACGCTTAATATGCATATAAATGTTCGCCTGCAATTAAATCGCAATGATCCGGCCATGGAAAGTGAACATTTAAAATCAGAGCTCTAATTACATTGCTTTCCCAAACCAAATCAGAACATTATCGCTTGCAAAAAGCCTGGGTCCTGGTGTATTGACACTGATTGAGCATGTCGGGGCTAGTAAGTGGGTGTGGGTCGGTCCAGTGAGTGATAGTTAAATAATTAAGGCGTAGACGGGTGTCGGTGGCGACTGTGGCCTCCGGTGGCGGTCCCATTGAGAGCGGCGGAGGCGCGGCGCGGCGGCGCGAGCCGTGACGTCACGGGCCGCCTGGCGCACGCGCCCGACTATCGAGCGGCATGTGCCCATCGCAGCCGGCCACCGCTCCGCCCGACCGATTCACACTTTTTTATTTTCCCTCCGAACGTAGCGACCGCTGTGACATCCCGATTTTCACACAAAAGTCCACTCGGACCGCGGTGCCGTGACGTGAACGCGAGAAAAGGCGGCGGCCGCAACGCCGCCCACCGCCGTGTAGCCCGAAACCAAAATGGCAGGACGAAGGCTCCGCTCCCGTGCGCGAGCCCGCCTGTGACCGAGCGCTTCAGTCCGCGGGCGGTATGTGTCCGTTATATAAATGTTACGCAAGTTGAGGACCGAGTGCCCACGAGAAGGTGCATCAATTGTAACACGAACTAGCGGACAGGCTCGGTGGTGCAGTGTGCTGGAGCCCATGTAACGTGCGCGAGGACCCGGGGCTATGGTGAGTCGCGCTCGATACCTGAATGACCTTACTTCGCGTATCCCGTGCTAGAGAACGTACTATTGTCTCGGAGGGATAAGCGTCGAAGAAAGGTTAAATAAGTTAGAGCTAGTTTCACCTTTATCGATCGGTTCGCTGTACGAGCCTGTGGAAATTGTTTATTCTACCTTTCAAAATAAAGGGAATGGGAGGATTGGGGGTGCAGCCGAGCCTGTGCGGGGTCGGTGTCGGGATTAGGGTCTAGTTTCGCGAGGCAGGCCAGTTGGAACGGGTTCGCGCCTGACAACATTAGCCGACTGCTCCTTGGCATGTGGGAGCAGCTTTATTGATCAATCTTATTGTTTAAGGAGTTCTGTGCCAATATAGTACCTTACATTCTGAATAAGTTTTCTTTAAGATACATTGCAAACTTGATATCATTAAATACTTATTGTACTGTAGATACTTACGCCCATATTCACAAACATTACTATGAGGTCTCACAGTGCGCGTGGACGCACAGGGTGATACACGAATCGATCAAAGAACTCTATCCAACGCTGTGCGTTCGATTTGCTGTTTCACTTAAGCAAGCATCGTTTGCGTTAGAGTACATAAATCCCTTATACCTAATGTATTTTTTTCATAGCAGTCATTTATTATTTCCATTAATATCATCGAATTACAAAGTACGTGTATCGTTAGTCTAGTCGTAGTAATCAACAGCCAGTTTTTAAATATTTGATTGCCCTCACAGGTCACTCGAGCCTTAGTAACTGAACCCATGTATTTGATAGTTCACGAATTCGAGGCCGTGTAACCATTGTACTTGGTGTACCGTGATATTGATTAGCCCTATTCCACCATCGATACGTACAAGCAGTAATTGTGGTGCTTTTAGATTATTTATCAAATCAATACCGTCTACAACGAGCTAAAAATACCTACACATGTTTTGTGATTGGTTGAGCTACACTTTTCTAATTTATGGTGCGGTCCGTTACTTACCGGTCCATTTTTCTACACGCGAGGACAATGTAAAGAAAACTTGTCAAGTATGGGTCGCCTTGCACACTGAGGGTTCCATATCACTCCCTCTCCCTGTATCCGTTCTGTCATTCTCCTTTTAAGTCATCATTCATCACACAAGTCGTAGTTCCACAACCTAAGAGAGATAAGTTATTTGTAACTGTCCACATTGCATGCCGTGGCAGCCTTTAATTAAGACAGCACTTAGTTTTAAGCACTTTTAGTTATAGTAATTTCATGTATGCGTGTTTGTCTTGTTGGTTGTCCTAATAAATAAAATAAAATAAAATAAAATAAATAAGTTCGCCCATCATACATATTCTTAGGTAATTTCGTGTTGGAAAATGACATTTTACTTATTCTTTGTGCCACAAAAACTTTTTGGAGAACCTCAATTTCATAGATTTTGTTTTCGGTACGGCGAATCAAGTCGATTTGATTAACAATATCTTTTAGCTCTGTACAATTACACATTGAATGTTTAGTTTGGCTGTGTCATACCCAAAATACAAATTTTATATTTTCTAAATTAAATCGTCGATCGAATTACGATAAACTTTCGCTAAATCATCCAAATTATTATTCAAATCATTCGGATGATAAATTATAACATAGTTAAGAAGTGAAAGAAGTATAATGTGGCAATAACCAACACTCTTTGTGCCCTCTACAAGCCGTGCTGGCACGCGATAGAGTCGTAAAAATTAATCTGCAGGTAAGTCAACTCTTGCACTAGCATTTTTGTGTTTTGTTTCACACATTACTGCAATATGTAAAAGACTTAAATATTTTCAGCCTTTAGTTTGAGCTATAGCTATAGCTTTGACTCAATTTTATTCAAGTAAATAAAAAGGAAAAAAATTCATACCAAGGTAGGTATTTAAAAATAATAGTATGTGCAGTCGGACTAAACATTTTTGCTTTGATATGTCATCTATTACACAGCTGTATAAGATGCTAAGTGGTCAGGTTGATGTGAAATCGTCTGAAGAATAGCCCATGAAAATAGAATTGACACGAAATTGAAATCTTTGACTAAAACATAGATTGAACTATCTTCACGTATTCTTATAACGATCAAAGGTACGGACTACGGCACGTCAACGTAACCACTGTGGGTTCTTGTGCAGTTGTAATAGGGGCGATTTTGCAACAAAAATGGGTAACCTGATGTGCTGTCGTGTGTACATCGGGTACTAGGATAAGGCTTAAAGTCAATTTTAGTAGCCTTATTGGTTCGCAAGATTGCCAAAGCCCATAGGCACCGACTGTAAAAATTGTTCGAGATTCAATTTCATAATCGCTAGCTATGAACTTAATTTGAGTACAAAACAGTTGAAACACCTCCAACTCGAGTTTGTCTATAGATACAGGTTAAAATTTAATATAGTAGGTAAGTACATCTTATTATGCCCATACATCATGTTTTTCTAAGGACAGAATTTTATTAGAGTTTTGATATCTGCGCCAGCGTACCATATGCCACGAAAAGGCCACTTTCAAAAGTCTCTATGAAACCAATATGAACGAAATACAGAAAAGATTGTAAATAGCCAACAGTAGATATGATTGCTGAAAGTTTTATTGCTATTGGATCTCGTTCTGAACAAATAGGTATATTGAGAGAATAGATAGACAATGTTCACAAACTGTTTTTATTTATGTAGATGTTTTTGTCATAATTTATGGATTTGTGGGGCGGTGGCACTTGACACTAGCAAAAATTACTCAGACAGTGTCCATAGAATCCATACACAAAAATGTCTTTGAAAGGTCCTTTAATTTTTCTACGAGTATCCACAAATAGAATAGACTAGTAAAAATTAATTAATCTTAGATTCTTGCTTTCAAGCATTTGGAAAAAACTACGAAACTGTGATGCCAAAAATTTGGCTTCAATAAGAGAAAAGATTAAAACGGATTGACCAATTTTGCTCAATGTAAAGGATTCTGATTTGTTTTTAAATTATTTAATTCCAAATCTGTAAGTAAGTAGGAAGTATGTAAAAGGAATGAACCAAAAAATATGGGATGTAAATGTACGGAATAAAACACGCGAAAGTTTCTCGGACTTGACCGTTGGAATTCAGAAAACAATAATTCTGAAGTTGCTCGGTTTGTCAAGGGTAGTGAAAAATGATGCATTTCTTAACCCCTAGAGGGTGTGGCGGGCCAGGCTGCCGCTGACGGCTGTCTTGGCCCTTTTTTAGCTGGCCCTTCGTTCTGTAGGCTGGAAAAAACGCTCAACTTTAATGGAACTTTTTGCATATTTAACGTCAGATCAAGAGACGTTTTCCTCATTAGATTCAAAAGTGCTGTATTAAATTTGTTCAATCTTACTTGTTAAGTGGTAAATTCTGTATATCATTATTTAAATCTATCTCAATTCTTCTAGTCGTGTGCGCTGAAATCAGTTATCGACATGATTCCCCTTTAGGTACAACTATTGTACCTTCGAACTAGAAAACACATGGCTGCAAAATGTATTAATACTCATGCTGAGCTATATTTGTTATAAATTGAAAGGATAACATTTTGTTACTAAACTATACGCCTTTTCCTGAAAGCGTTTACAGCAGGTTACACAACTTTCAGATTTGACGTAATTACAAAACATATCTACAAAAACCTTGAAACCGGATTTCCCAGGATGTTTGTTTACATTTGCGTATCAAAACCAATGAAGTATGGTGCGTGTTCGGCGGGACGTGTGAAATCGCGTTATTTACGAGGGAGTGCCCGTCCGCTGCAGGAGATATGCTATCAATACTGATAGATTAGATACCCATTTTGTCTTCCCCGCCCTGCACCCTGGTGGCAAACGTCTATTACTTTACATAATGTCAGCCCTACTCAGCGGAGGACGTTAGTTTTTCCGCATTCTAGAGGCTCTACCGTGCCCAAAAATGCATGTATTTATTTTCCATTGTTCAAATGAATCGACTTTAGCACTTTTCTTTAGCCTATAGAGTTGTCACCCCAGTCATCAGGGATTCGATACTCCTAAATTCAGTTGGAATCCATTTAAAGTGGTAGGTAGTTTGAGTTCAAACACTGCAAACTGGAATTAACTAGATGGTCGGCTTAAATATTATGAGTTCTAGCTTTATGAGTCCGAGCTTTGTAAAGCACGTCAAAATTCATCGACTCTACCAATCGAATATTAGGCAAAGCTTAGCTAGCTAGAGTTTGTTTGTGTACACAACTTCTGACGAAAAAATCTCTAGGCACACAAGTTTATTCCAGCCTGTATTTTCTTTTTCTCTTTTTATTTTCTCCATTTGGAAAAAGAGCGTTGCAACCTGCATACAACCATCGTTTTATACCAGTTAACTCCTTTATCAGAAATTCCGGCCCGTATGTCTACCTCCCAACACATCCACAATTCATTACTGCACAATGGCCTGCTCTGGCCGATATTACGCGAGTACGTCCACTAACTCTTTGTGCTTGTTTTAGTTAAAAAAGGATAGTCTGTTATGCGGGTTTTGGTTAAGCCGTGCTCGGGAAAAGAAATAAGTGCTTACAAGTACCTGATAAAGTTTGGTCTTACTGGAGTTTGCTGCTGTGCTGTGGGTACTAAATAAAATATTTTTGTGTGTGCACTAGGTGTACAATATTTATACTGTACACTGTACAGTACATAAAGTGTGTTTTTATTTTAATGGTTGGTTTATATTGTTTTGGTGTTAGCATTATAGATACTCATCTTCATTATCCAAAGATATTTTGTTCTTCAGATGGTATGTTCACCATCATCACAGTCATAGGACATCCAGTGCTGAACATAGGCCGCCCCCAATTTCCATAATGACCGGTTGGTAACGGCCTGCATCCAGCGCTTTCCTGCATATCATGTTAAGGCCACCTATAAGCTTGTCAGAGTCCTATGAGGACTAGTATGAATAATCTGATAAGAAATCATTATCTTTGTGGAATACGGGAGTAAATTAACAAAACATTCGAAAGAAAAATGTTCAAATAACGAACGC